TCATCTTCTCTGTCCAGGTCAGCCAGGGGGCGCTGCTGCCGCAGAGGAGCATCTGGGTCCTGAGCACACACACACACACACACACACACATCACCTATGGCTGTATCCACACTGATTCGTTTGAAGTGTGTCAGCCCTGTAATAGTCTGGTGACTGGGGTGAACCCAGGCTCCCCCCCCCCCCGCGCCCCCCCCCCGCGCCCCCCAACAGGATAAGCAGCTACAGATGATGAATGAATGCTAAACACTCCTGTGTGTGGAGACTGTTGTCCTCTTAAAAACACACATTACTGTGTGTGTAACCTGTGTGTTTGTTGCCATGGTAACAATCCTCACCAGTTCAGTGACCAGGGGAACGGTGAAGGCAGTGCCGCTCTTCCTCCTCAGCTTCAGTGAGTGGAGGGTGTTCTCCCTGACACACACACACACACACACACACACACATCGTAATAATACACACAACTGTAGGCGTGATATTTAAAGAGTGACAGACAGACTCACCAGCAGACGTTTTTGGCATAGTATTCTATGTTGTCGGAAAAGTCTCCGATCTGATCCTTGGCGATGCTCTCCAGCCAATCAACAACCAGCTGTGACACAAAAACAAACTCTGTTCAGTGGTCGTCTCCTCGTCCTGCTCCAGACCGTTTATTTAACACTCCTTCAGGAGGAGGACGCAGGAAGTGTCTGTTACCTGACTCTGACGTACAACGGCGTCCCGCTGGAACAGCCGCTCCACCACGACCTTCTCACTCTCACTGGGAGCCTTCACACACACACACACACACACACACACACGCACGTCACATGTACAGCCTCAGAGTCATGCGTAATTGAGGGTTTAAAAGTGTGTGTGTGTCTCAAAGTCTCTAAACTGTAACTCACAACCATGTCTGTGATGTCATCTTCCAGCGCCAACTGGACCCGGTCCCTGCAGACACAGACAGCTCATCAGTCAGAGACAAGTGGACAGACAGGCAGACAGACAGGTAGACATGGACAGGTGCGTACTTGTACAGCGAGGTGATGAGTCTCCAGGAGCAGTTCTCCTGCTGCAGCAGCCAGTAGACTCCTGCTGCCTTACTCTTCTGACCCGCTCTGAGGACCACGGACAGCAGCACGTCCGTCTTCAACACGGGGACAGAGACAAAGGTGAGCTAAGCTAAGCTAACCATGTCCTGACATTTTGTTCAGCTAACTTATTTTTGTTTCAAATGAAAAACACGACAGTTTGACTGAACAGAAACTGATCCGACCTTCTTCTGGCAGAGAGTCTGGTAGTCCTCCAGCAGATCAAACACCGCAGAGGAAGAGTGTTTCAGGAAGGATGCGAGGAACTCTGGGAAGAGACTGGCGGCCGCTGAAAGATTAAAAAAAAAAAAAAAACAATGAACGCTGCTAAGTAACAGGAAGAGGCTTCTGGGAGTGTTTGTTTTACCCACCAGCCTCTCCAGGGTCGTCCTCCTTCAGTAGCGCCGAGCTGAGGTCGGTGAGGTCTTCTGAGAAGGAGCTGATGTTCTCCATCACAGACACAGGAGAGGCGGTCCAATCACTGTCGTCCAAATCCTACACACAAAAACACATCATTCATTTAACGCTCAGTTCAGACCAAAGACTGACGCCGAGACGAGTTGAAACGACTGACAGAGAATATTATCGTATGTGCCTCAGATCTTAACGTCAAAGCCTGAAGCCACAACAGAGCGTGTGTGTGTGTGTGTGTCTCACCATACTGCTGAATGCGTTTCTGGGTGTGTGTGTGTATCGAGGCGTTCGACCTCCTGAAGCCAAGATGGAGGAAACATCTGAAAATCTGGGAGTTACTGACAGAGACAGAGAGACATGAGGCGAGGGATTTAGTCTGAGATCACAGTGTAATCAATAATCGTGTGTAATCAATAAAAGTGTGTGTGCGCGCGCGCGTGTGTGTGTCCTACCAGCCTGTCTGAACAGTGAAGCCGGAGTGTTCCTCAGCAGAGAGCGGGCAGGCGTCACTGTGGAGGCGATGGGGGTGCCGCTGTCAGGTGACGGGACTGAGAGCAACCGTCAGGAAAACAACGATACTGATGACACTTATGACATCATTAGTGACGACTGGTGATGTCACTGTGCTACATAGAGGGTATTTATTTAAAGAGGTTTCCAGCAGCCTGAAACGCTTTTTGCTATTTCATGAAATTAATCACACACACACACACACACACACACACTCTCTCTCTCTCTCTCTCTCTCTCTCTCTCTCTTCCAGCAGGTTAGGATACAGGCCACCTTCTTCATCCTGCGAGCAGCGAGCGACACAAACTCATCTCGCACCACTGGAGACAGCAACTCATCCTGACCACTGGAAGACAAGACGAGTACGTACAGTATGTGTTTGTGAGTGAAAACACAACAGAGTTTACGTCTTCCCACGAGTCTTCACCTTTGACTTACGCTCAGTGGAGCCAAAGCATCACGTGACACACTGCAGAACACGAAATCATCCATGTTTAATTTTGTCTTCACACAAAGAAGATGTGCAGAAACTTCCCCTGAATCTACTTCTGAGGATTTGAGGGGTGAAAGTTCTGGATGAACAACTATAGACTGTAACAGGAAACTTCTTGTGTGGTAGATTTTATTTGTCAAGTTTGGAACAGAAGAAGTTATTTGCTTGCAGCGTTGTGTAAGAATTTAACTATTATGTGTGACAACTGTGTCACCAGTGTGACAGCATTGTGGCGTCTATCTATGCATCTTCAGTCGTAGAGAGATGTGGAATGGAGTGACACTTGTGTGTGGGTCGACAGATAATCAGCCTGGTCGATTATTGGGCCGATATTATGAATTTTTAGGGTTATGGTATCGGGGATTTTTTCCACCAATATGCCGATATACAGTGTTCCTGAGCTGCTCTGTTTTGCCCCTGGCGTGCTTCTCACTGCCTGCACGCACCACTCTCGGCTCTAGGAAATTTTATTTTATTTTTTTTATTGTTTTTCATTTTATTTTTTTAATTTTGTATTTATGACTATCGTGTATTTGTTTATTTCTTTTCATTAATCTGTTTTTATTTAGCTGGCATATTCTTCAACTTCGTTATTTATTTATTCATTTTTAACTTATTCATTTTCCTATTTATTGAAAGATCTAAAATTTCAATTTTTATTCTGAGTCTTTAATCCTGCCTCTGGTGTTTCCTTACTCATGATAGTGTTTCCTCAGTTACCGAGTGCTGTTGAAATAGCCTGCTACTGTTTAGTCCTTACCATTACAGTCACTGAATTTATGTGTGTGTCTAAGTTTGAGTGTGTGACTATGATTTTTACAGCAGACATATATTGGTTGTAAATATCGGCTATCGGTATCTGTTTCATAATAATCGGTATCAGCATCGGCTCTGAAAAAAAACATATCAGTCAATTCCTACTTTGTAGCCCTGTTACAAGTAAAGTCCTGCTTCTAAAGTTTTACTTCAGTAAAAGTACTACTTAAAGTACCAAAAAGTAAAAGTACTCATGATGCAGAACGGCCTGAAAAATCTATGTTATATTACTGGATTATAATAACTGATGCATTCATGTGTTCAACACTGTTAGTGTAAAGGTGGAGCTCATTTTTATGGCGCCATAATTTTTTACCTGGTTATATTTTGTAGCAGAATCTAAATGTGCATATTACTTTAAGTTTTTAAACAAATGTAGTGCAGTAAAAAGATGTGTTAAGATGTGTTACTGGAGCACACGTTGCAGAAAATAGACATACTCACATGTTTAGTACCTCAAAAGCTTAAATAAAGTACCTGACTAAGTGTAATTAGTTACATTCTACCACAGTGTTTGACACTGTAAACACATCATTTGGCGGCCTGTCTCTGATACACAGTTTGCAGATGGTACGAAGGCTCACTCCAAATAATGCCATTACTTGGTTTAGCAGAACACCAGCTTGAAGGCACCTGACTGTCAGCACCTGGAGGCACCAGAGGCTCAAAACAAGAGTCAATAGCAGCAGCAGAAAAAGCTGTTTGGCATTAGCACAGAAGATTTGGCTCATTTTCATGGGCACAACCCTCACACTCAGCTCTGCTGCTCATCCCACAAATACATGTTCCTGACACATGTGGCTCCAAGAAGCTTTGTTACACCAAAGAAATAATCTACCAGACACAAATGTCTTTACTTTTTGTGTTTAGTTTAGGTAACTACCAGGTGTAGTAGAGACAGCATTAATATTCATCCTCACTGTAAGTTAACGTTACTCATTAATAACTCAGTTAAACTTTAACACCAGCAGTCTGTTAGCTAACAACAGTGATCAGTTGCTGTTATTGGTTTGCTCAGTATCGACAGGGTAATCGATAATAATCATCAGCTGTATTTAGCTCCAGTTTCTGACTGAGAACGACCTTATTAACAGTTCTGGTTCAACATGTCAACAAACCGGGAGTTAGCCGGTTAGCATCAGCACTGATAATGAACAGCACCGTTAGCACAAGCTAACAAGTAAAGAACGAGCCGCTAAACAACAAGCTAACGGTTCACACACAGAATTAAACATTTAACTAACAGCTGTAAAATCTGACACAGATAATAAAATATAATTCACCAGTCCATGATGAAAACGGGGCTGTCAGTTCCCGCTTCACGAGGCTCAACAGGACTCTTCTTCGTGTGTTCTGTACTTTCTCGTCTTCTTCTTCTGTAGAATTCCCGGCAGAGTGGATGACCGGTGCGGCACGGTGCTGCCCCCCACAGGTCAGTGTTGGTGCTTTGTTTTTTAAATTTGTTTCATTTAATTTTGTTTGATTTATTTTAATGTAATTTATTGATTTTTTTTATTGTATTTGTTAAGTTGTAATTCATTCAATTTTGTTTTATTATTTTTTTATTTAATTAAATTAATTTTTTTATTTAATTTTATTTTTTGTTTCATTTAATTTTATTTAATTTTGTTTTGTTTTATTTTATTTGTTTTGTTCTGTTAAGTTTCATATAATTTTATTTTATTACGTTTATTTTA